CCTTGAGTTACACAATCTGCGAATGTTTGGCATGTGATTCGCTCCCTTTGTCAAATGTAAGATGATGCTACAGGACTGGATTGGACTACATTGACTCGTAGCTTAGAAATAGGGAGTGAAGTGGTTGGTGGAGCGTGTTGACCACTTCACGGATACATAATTTCGCATATGCCAGTTTACGCCGTCTCTGGCTGTAGACGTGATATCCGACGCGCTATCGACTAAAGGGTGTGTGTACTGCTCCGTCCTTTATGCTTGTGAATGAGACATGGCCATTGAGAGTGGGAGACATAAGAAGCCTCGCTAGTTAGCTGTCTTTGACCATAGGTGCCCGCGTTCTATCTCCCGTGTGAAATGGTATAATAGGGTGAGCAATATTGAGGTTAGGCTTCGGTCGAGTGCTAGGTAAGCAGGAGGGGAAATCAATTGACAAGGCTGTGAAACTACATCGATTGAGATGGTTAGGACATGTGTTACGTAGGCATGCCTAGCCATCGCCTTCGTCGACGGTCAATGTTAGCTGACATAGAGTCAGGTTGGTAAAGAGAAGGGTAGTGGTGGTCAAACCAAAACATAGCACCAGTCAATGAAATCCACAACAGTTAGTTTAAGCCATGTAGGAAGGTGTAGACTTCCTGACTGACTGGTTGGAGTCCTCGGGAGGGTAAAAATTAATGACGGCTGGAGACAATCGGTGATATTGCTGGCTCAAAATAGTTTTGAATGGCTAACGCAGATGCATCCACTCCTTGTGACTTATAATTTCCAATGAAACTATATTGTTCTTCGTTATTACTATTCCTTTTGCCTCATATCCCTGTTTACTGTCTCCATTTTGCATTTCATCCGCTTCCTTCTCTTGTTCTGTGTGCTACATGGAGTGTGGCGACTTGAACTGCTGTACATCGGTGCAAAGTTCTATGTTGAAACCAGTCAGTCAGTGGTTTGTTTAAAACTATACAGACGTAGAGACAGAAGGGTATTGTTGTGACAGTATTTAGTCTTAAAGGGGAGGGCCTGAGAAAGACGCTCTACTTGGGCTTACACAGCTTATGGAGAGAGTTGTTATCTGAAGTGACGACCACCAGGGATGCCAACTGTTTCGATTTTTGTTTAATTTCATCTTAGATGTACTAATGGAATTGACCCTAAAAATGACTTTAGCGGCTTAGGAGTTGACTTGTTAACAGTAATATCGACTTCAAGTATGCGGTTGATGTTGTCCGCCTGGGTGAAGAGTTTTTTGAACACCTTGAGCTGAAGTCTTTTGAATATTTGGCATGCCATTCGTTCTTATCAAATGTAAGATGATGCTGCAGGACTGAAATGACTGTGGACTTTGTTGTGGTGACGAACAGACGGTATCGTCTTTCTGTGCGATAGCATGCAGGCTGCCCAAATCACTCTTAATCAGTTGGCGATCAGGGTCTGTAAGCATAGTATGAGCTTCGCACCGTCTAAGTGCAAAGTACAGTTACAAGACTGGCAGGAGCCTGTACCTATACTAACTCTGGCAGGTGAATCGCTTGAAGTTGTCGATAAGTTCGTGTATCTAGGTAGTTGTGTGAGTGCTGGCGGAGGCGTAACGGGTGAGATTTCCAACTGTATCATGAAAGCTAGGGTGGCATACGTCAACTTGAGCCACCTTTGGAGTTGTTGAAACGTTAGCCTGGCTATCAAAGGTCTGGTTCACAATTCTCCGGTGCGTGCTATCTTGCTCTGCGCCTGTGAAACCTGGCCTCTCAGAGCTGATGATGTGCGGCGACTTTGCGTATTCGATCATCATTGTCTCCGAAGGATAGCTTGCGTTCGATGGCATTATCGCGTGTGTAATTCTGAGGTCCGGAGGCGTGTGTTTGGATACAGTTGGAATCACCATTTGTTGAGTGTCGTCATCTGAAAACACTGGCTTCGGTGGCCTGGACATGTGCGGCAAATATCATCCCAGAGGCTTCCGCACAGGTCTCTGTTCGCTAGCCCTGGGACGGGATGGAAAAGGCGGATGGGTGGTCAGTCCATGTCGTGGGATGAAGGATATTTGTGCTAGATTAGCATCGATTAGTGATTCACGTCTCTCTGGCTCGAAACGTTATCGGATATGGCCGAGAATCGTAGTCAGTGGCGAACGTGTTGCAATTTTCTTCTTTCATCCTTTCACGATGATAGTTGACGAATACTGTATGAACTTGTTAGGCATGACTGTTTTCCTTCCAGATAAAGTTCTTCATCCGTTCTCTACCTATATTTTTACTTTTAATCTATGTTGTTTTATTATTATTGTGTGGCACATCTTCTTGGTGCCATATTGTGCCAAGTTTTTTTGTGTTTAAATAAACTATAATAATAATATAATATGGTGACGAAGATGTATCTATTCACTACAAGCGCAAAAACACTAATGTTCATAATCACCAATAACCTGTAGATGTACAGAAAATATTAAAATGGGCCATTAGAGTACTGGCGTGATGTTGCCTTCAGACGTCCGAATCAACTAGGAAGTAGAAAAGAGACAGAAGTAATGCAACCATCATTTCTAGAATGCTATCAGAGTAAAGTGAACACAGACACAACAAAGGTGACGAAGGGACCCATCGACCAAGAGCAGCAAGCATCAATCAATCACTAACGGAAGAAATCTAAAGGAAGTCATCTCCTTTACTTTCAACTACAAGCCATACAGATGAGGATTTCAAAGCCAGCCAGGATTAAAAAAGCCAAGACAAACCATCATTCATCTGAAATCAGTGTAGGAATCTGCCGCGCTTAACATAAAAAAAGTACATTCGAATCTTCAGCACTAATATATGAAGTCAGTACTACTGTGGTGAGAGCAGTCTGCAAGCCGAAATTGTAGACAACAATTTACGTCAATGTTTACGTCCCAAATCGGAGTCATGAGAAAAACAAACGATAGCAAAGCTTAACCTTGAGGAACTCACCAACCAATCACAGCAGACCTAACGTGTGCAAATACGATTCGCAGATATATGGTTTAACATTCTAAGAAACGGTCACAAGCAGTACAGAATAACCTTCAGCAAGGAAACAACCAATCACAAGAGGTTGCTTCTCCGCTAACAATAATGCACATAAAATCCATAAATACCTCTTGATTTTCTCAATAAACGATCTGTTGCCTTGCCCTTGTTTTCTGTCGTTAAACTATTGTATGCTTCAGGGATTTGGTGAGTCACGGGAAACATTTCGAATAGACTTTTGACAACAGTGTTGACCTTTCGTGGCTGGATACTGAAGATCAGATAGCTGAACGGTCGGAAAGAATTAGCAACGAATAAACCACCAACTTACTGCCCACCGAATATGTCGAAGGAAATAGAGATGGATTGGATAGACGCTGAAGAGACCATTGAGCAACATATCAAGTCAGATAGAACCTGGGACAACAAGCCTATGAGCAATCATTGAGTCGGCAAGGACGCACTGGATGCAGAATTCCAACCAGGACAAGCTGGATTCAGGAAAGGCAAATCATGTTCTGACCAAATTGCAACTCTACGCATCATCATCGAACAAGGCATGGAATGATAATCAAACCTCTACCTCAACTTTATAGACTTTGAGAAGGCCTTCGACAGCGAAGTAATTTGGAAACTACTCGAGTACTATGGCGTACCACAAATATTCATCAACCTTATTCAACAGCTGCACGACAACGGCACATGTCAAGTGATCCACAACGGAAAACTCAGCGAGGCGTTTCGAGTAAACACAGGAGTCAGACAAGGGTGCTTATTATCACCAATGATATTCCTAATTGTGGTGGACTGGATTATGCGTCGTCAGACAGTGGGAAACGAGAAGACAGGGATATCCTGGACCGACGTGAAGAACCTAGAAGACCTGGATTTCGCGCGTGGATGATTTATGTTTGATGTCACACAAAATCGAAGACTTACAAGCAAAAACCAACAAACTGGTCGAAGAAGCAGCAAAGACAGGACTGACTCCAGGTGAACATAGACAAGACGGAGGTCATGAAAATAACCAACCAACAACAGCAGCAACATCCAGTGCCAATCACCATCAACGGGAGGGATTTGAAAGAGGTTACTTCTTTCACTTATCTAGGGAGCATTGTCTCAACCACAGGAGGAACGGATGAGGATGTCAAATCGAGAATCGGGAAGGCGAGAAACACATTCATCAACCTGAAACCAATCTGGAAATCTTCGTCACTCACCATCAACAACAAAATTCGGATTTTCAATACAAACGTGAAGTCAATTTTGCTTTACGGATCAGAAACTTGGTGGGTCAAAAAGAATATTTCCAACAGCCTGTTGCAGACCTTTATCAACAACTGTCTTCGTTCTATACTGAAGATCAGATGGCCGCCGGAAAGAATCACCAACAAGAAACTATGGGAACAAACAAAACAGGAACCAATCGCTCAACAAATATGCAGGAGAAAGTGGAAATGGATTGGACACTCGCTGAGGAGGCCGTTGGGTGATATCGCGCGTCAGGCCAGTGCTCGAGTGGAACCCGAAAGGGAAGCGGCGAGTGGTTCGTCGGTGCAAGGGTGACATGGAGGAGATCGTGTGAAGAGGGGTTGAAACAGTATGGACTAACATGGATGCAAGTGAAAAGTGCAGCAGAAGCAAGTGGAGATATGCAGTTGAAGCCCTATGTTCCACTAGGAACCCAAGGGAACAATAATAATAATACTACAGCTAATAAAGACCTGTTGACGCAGAAGACGAATATGGAACAGCTTAAAACAGGCAATGAAGACTTTTATAGGTTGCTCTCCACTACTGATCTGATTATTTTTACCTAAGATCCTTTTCTACATCACGAGTTTCATTCACACACTGAGAAGCAAAATTACTCAAGGCATTGGCTTTGTTTTTCTCATTTCAAATATAAATATGTATTTCTGTGTATGTGTATTTACAGGATTTCACAGAGGTTTTTACAGTAAGCAATAGCAGTTGCTTCCATTTCTAGTAGAGATTCCATTTACGTCACGGATTGAAATTGACTGTCAGAATGTTATCTATAATAAAACAAAGAAAATTATGAATGATAATTATATAGTTAAACCTTAACTTGTTTTAAACAACGTCTCAATTAACACACACACACACACAAATAAGTTAAACACAGACATGATTTCCGGCTGCCAATCAAAGAACACGTTGTACTACGCAATAGTTCGCTTTGTCCTCTTTTACGGTTGTGAGATAAGGCAATTAAGAGTGAAAGATATGAAAAGCTGTGCTTTGATCAGAGGCGTCTGTACCCTATTCCCCGTGTTATATCTGTCTGGATTCAACATAGAACTTGGCACCGAAGTGCAACAGTTCCAGTTGCCACGTTCCAAATAGCACACAAAGGTAGACAAGAAGATGAGTGAAGAGAATCAATAGAGTTTTGACAAGTATAAGAGTGAAACAGAATGAGTAATGGTAGAAAGGAATATGAAAGATTAAAGAGACTGAATACATCTGCGTAAGCCATTGACAACGATTTTGAGCCATGTCACATATTGTCTCCAGCCATTGATTCTTAGAGTCCCGAGGGCCCCAACCCGGAAGTCTGCATCTCTCTACCTGATTCAGTTTAACTGTAAGGGATTTCATGGATTGATGCCATGTCTTTGTTTGGCCACCACTTACTCTTTTCCAACCTGCACCTATATCAGCTAGTAATGCCCGTTCGTCGGGGAGGCGATGGTTAGGCATGCGCAGCACGTGACCTAGCCATCTCAATCTATGTAACTTTATAGCCTCGTCGATTGATTTTCCCTCATTGCCCAACAGTCTGCGCCTAACGTGAACATTACTTACCTTATTATACCACCTGACGTGAGAAAGAGATCGTAGACATCTATGATCAAAAACGGTCAACCTTTTCATGTCTTCAACTCGTATTGGCCACGTTTCAGAGCCATAGAGAAGGACGGAGCGAACTGCTGAGCAGTATACACGTCCCTTGGTTGATCCCCGTGTTATATGGTACAATATGGTAAGTAGCTTACAGTGCAGTACTTCTGTGCAAAGTTCTACGTTGAAATTCACACAGTCAGTCAGTCAGTCGTAGTATGGACGGTTCGAAGATTGTCTGAGGAGTAGTAAGTAACATGATGTTGTTTGGTGACTAGTAGTGGAATCTAAAATGCATAATGCATGCTAATTGGGACTCGTCAGATGGATGCATAATCAATCAATGGGGATTGCAAATAATAACTGCTACTCGATGGACTACAAGTGGCTCTTGTGGCCCAAGTAGTCTAATTAATGGATAACGGTTTAGCCTTTGAAACGATAGGTGCTGGGTTCGAGTCTCAGTGTGAACACACCATCAGTCACTAGCGATTGAAGGTACATCCGTCTAATGAGTCATAGGACGAATTGTGCATTCTAGTTTAGTTGAAGGATTTCATCATGAGCTAACATCGGTTAGAGAATCATTGGAAAGCCCACCAGGGAGTACTGGACAGTTGTTTCTTCCTAGTTCGGGACTCTTCAGAAGTACGCACTCACCGGGGTTCAAACCCAGGACCTTCTGGTTAAAAAGTGAGCTCGTAGACCACTCAGCCAACAGGACCCAACTCAATGGATAGCCCATGAATTCTAACTTCTATCAATTCGTGATTATAGCTCAACTGGCCATATTCAAAGTCATCATTGGCGAGTATTTGGACCCACACTCCCGACCTGATGGAGCCCACTGGTCACTACTTCTCACTAGAACTGATGCTCACTAATGACTGGCTGCAGGACGAAGTTGCCTGGAGTACTAGTGAGGAGTCATAACCATTGGGATCCACCTAGTCGGCTGTGAGGACAAAAACTTGCCAGTTGAGCTAAAACAACGAATTGGTAGAAGTTAGAATTCATGGGCTGGCCACTGAATCAGGTCCCGTTGGTTGAATGGTCTACGAGCTTTCCTTGTAACCAGATGATCCTGAGTTCGAACCCTGGAGGTGGCTGAGTACTTCCAATGAGTCCCAAACTAGGCTGACGCAGCAGCTAGCTGTCCAGTACTCCCTTCTGGCTTTTAAAGATTCTCTAAATGATATCAATCCATTTTTCTAAATCTTGAAACAAGCAAAATCTTCACAAAGAAGCTCTTGAAAATCATAGTTCTTGGAAATGAAACATAACCACCGTTAGTTGGTTAAAAGTGAATTATTCGGACCAGATTCTCTTTCAAGAGTTGGTTTGTAAGGATTAGATTTGTTTTTACGAGTTTGACCACGGATTGATATCAGTTAGAGAACCACTGAAAACCATGGAGTACTGGACAGCTGTTTCATCCTAGTTTGGGAATCATCAGCAGTACGCACCCAATGCCAGGGTTTGAACCCAGGACCTTCCGGTTACAAGACAAGCTCGTATATCATTCATGTACTCGGATGTGAGTCATATTCAATAGGTGGCACATTTTGATACTGCCTTCTAACTGTAATTTGAAGTTTAACCACAGATTGACATCAGTTAGAGAAGCATTGAAAATGTGGGAATACTGGAGAGATGTTTCGTCAGTTGGAAAACTACCAGTGACCTGGGAGCCATCGAGTCCCTGAAAGTCACACCATCACAGAAGTAACTTCGAGTTCTTTATCCCATATACCAGTAGGAATCCAACTGAATATTAGAACAATTAAACAATGATTCATACAATGATTCAGTGGGAAATTTCAAAAATTAATAAATACTAATATTTATTTATTGCTTACCATATATTATTCAGACTCTTCATTCGAATCCGATGATGAACCTTCTTCCAAGGAAACTTTTGGTCCAGCTGATGATGATTGTGATAATTGAATTCGTTTTTCTTTCAACTTTTTACGCTCAATTTGATGTTGACGTTTAACACGTTCTCGCCATACCCTCTTATCTTCTTTATCAATCACTTCATGAAGTAGCTGACGTTCACGTTCAATGTCTAATGTTTCGCCAGGTTTAACTTCAGCATCAATTATAGGCAGTTTAGGAACTGGTACATCACCAATTTTTTCGCATATCACCTTTTTTTTAAAAAAAAAACACAAAAAAGAGATAAAAGAAACCATTTTGTTTGCTAAAGAACGGTTATAAGCCGGGAAAAGAGACAAGGTTGGGTGGATGGGGGGCGACGGGCTAGAAAAACCACTCTGGAAAAAAAAGCCAATCACTACGGTAACTTATTTGTCTCCTGAATCAAGGAGACGATATAACACCGTCTGGTGAAAGTCTTCGGGAAGCCAGTCATCATATATATATATATATACATTCTATTCATGGATCATCTACATCATGTTTGAGCACGGTTGCTAAGGCTACTCAGATTGTAGAAGAAATGACAAGACATAGTGCAGAAGTGTTAGGAAAATCTGTTAGAGTAGATGATGTCGGAGTGAACTTAACAAATTGTTAACTGAAGAGTCAATAATTATTCTGTGACGAATACTACTGATAAGACTTGTCAGTAGTATATAAAAAGACGTTCGTCGGCATAAAAACATCAAATAATAGGGAGATCCATTTGATTTCAGAGAAGGAAAATCATACAGCGTTGTGGAGATACATGCAGGACATGAACGAAACACGATATAAAGCAAGGGTCTGTGGGCGAAGTCGTACTATTCGGGAACAGGGATGTAACAGCAGTGAGGTGTTTCCCTCAGATGACCAGCATGCCAGCCAGCTATGCTGTGTCTCCACTCTGGAGAGAGGGGCCTAGAAAAGGTCGACCCCAACAATTGTACGTCCCGTAACCTGCGGTAAGTTTACTAATACGGAACCAAACCAAGTAACCAGTTCATACAGGCCGTGTGTAACCGGCCTCACGCAGTTGTCCTCTGGGCTCTGCGGTCACGCAACACTAACCCTATTTCTGTTTTAGGTACCTGAAGAATCAATCAACTTCCACAGTGTGGGCAGCCGGGAAGTAACAACCACCCACACACTTCCAAGAGCACACGGAGCCTCCCCAAGCATCATTCTCTTTTGATCTACTAGCTTGATCTATGTGATAAAGTTATCTAATATGTTCCGCATCCGACACGCTACTGAACCTCATCTAGCTTGTAGCAAGTTTGGAAGAGGAAAGATTAGACGCGAAGGCTAGAGATCCGACCACTCAATTAAAAGAGAACAACACAACCCGCTACTGAAAATTCAAAGTTTGAAGTCCCATATTCCCCTGGAAACATAAAGGAGACAGTTAAAACAAAACAAACAAGAAAAGCCAAACGGATAACTTACATGACCTTCATCATCAAACACCAATTTTCGATGTGGTCGAATCTTTTGTTTCAATTCTTTTTTAGCCAATTGTATACGATTCAACTTTTTCTAACAAAAAAAAAGAATATAATAATAAAGAAAATTTCTAAATAAGTTTCATATTTTTCAAGTGCAGACATATAATGACTGGGAAATAAATCATTGTACTTTATTTCATATAATTGGTTCCCTTGATAAATTTCGATAAAGAAATAAAGACCAGATGATTTGGTAGTATAAAATGATATTGTTCATTCTATTTCACAGGTTCTCCTCATCAGCTACAAACCGCTATCCTAAAATTACAACAATTTTCAGAGCATCTCGCAAAGAAATGTATGCCTAAAAGGAAGCAGATGTTCACAAAGTGCAACTATTAGACACCTCATGGATATATGTATATATATACTTCAGGTCATTTCGTCGAGATTTCTAAATCCTTCAAAATATTAAATATACATTAAAAACATTAAAAAAACACATTAAATATACAATATTAAATATACATGTATCTCATCAAGTAAAACCAGAAATCAGTATAAAATAATCTATGCTCGTACAACCAAGTACCGGAACTCAAAGATACCATGCTTGGCCCGTGTTCAAAGCGACAGAGACAATGTTAAGCGTGAAACCTATGACTTGCTCTGATATTAACAACATAATTTTAGGCTCCTTTATTTCTCTCTTATTTTGTTTTCTGTAGTGAACTCCTTCTCAAACATACTTAGCTACCTAAATTATTAACATTGGCTTCCTTTTTTGTGTATCCACTGGTTCCGACTCTATTAGCACTATGAGTATTACAAAATTGTCCTGTCATTAACCATCATGTAATTATTAGTTTTGTGGTTGTTTTTTCTTATTTTCTATACTTTTCGGCAATATTAAACTGACAATCATTGGTTGTGAACGCCATAGTCACCACCTTAAAAATGTTGTATTATTCAGGATTACTCACACTACCACTACAAACACTGCATTAGACCTGACAATAAAAAACAAAACAACAACCCTGAAATGTTATTTTATGATTGTTTAGAGTTGTTTCAGTCAAATTAACTGGCCATCTTGGCGATAAACATTTTTAAATATCATTTCATAACTTCTTGTATGACTATGGCTTTACTGTCACCATGCATAATCATATCATAGCTTCCACTACTTAATACTGAGTTATTATTATATGATGTTTATTTTCCTTTCTACTTCTTGGTATTTTTTCGCTTTTTTTCTAAAAATTATTTTGTGTTTATCCTGGTTTTTTTTTGCTGTTGGTGTCTTTAGATTTTTTTGTAAATGTTTGTAAAATTAGATGCAAATATTGTAGATATGTGCTGAAAATTCCACACTGTACCACTAGTACTGTTTCTGGAATAAAGCAAATTATTATTATTATTATTATTATTAAAAGACACCAAATTTACATGTAGTCAATCAGTGCATGATTTAACTTGAAAACAATCAAATCCCTGCGCACTAACACTGAAAATGTCTTCATATTTAATTCATCAGTATCTTGGCAAAAAAACTTAGTTACCAGGAACAAGACTATGTGTCGCACTGATTGTGTCAAGACTGATGATGCTAGTTGACAAGTCAATGTTATTATTTTTATTCCCTTGGGTTCCGACACATCTTCACTTTCTTTTATTCCCTGCCGTCCTCTTCATCTGGGTCCACGACTGCCCATAAAGTCTCATCTCCTCCTCGCCACACAATTACCTCCATGTCACTTTCGCATCGATGACCTAATCGTCGCTTTCCATTGGGACTGCACTCGAGCGATGGCCTGCATTGAACGTGATGTCATTTGACGGCCTCCTCAACGTATTCCCGATCAATGCATCTCCATTTTCTCTTACATATTTGTTGAGCACTTGGCTCTTGGTTGTTTTTTTTTACCAGCCAGAGTTTCTTTCTGACCAGGCGGCCATTTGATCTTCAGTATGGAGCCAGCCAGCGAAGGCAGCTGTTGATAAAAGTCTCCTGTAGTCTGTTCGAAAAGCTTTTCGAGACACACAGAGCAGGTTTCTGACCCGTATAGAAGAAATGACTGACTGAAACCACATTTGTGTTGGAAATCCGAATCTTATTCTTTCTGTTGACTGAGTGACAGTAGAAGATTTCCAAACTGGTTTCAGGTTGATGAAAACGTATCTTGCCTTTCCGATTCTGTCTTTGACATCTTCATCCGTTCCGCCTGTAGTTGAAACGATGCTTCCTACACCAGTGAAGGAGATAACCTCTGTTAAATCTCTCCCGTTGATGGTGATTGGTGCTGTTTGTTGTTGCTGTTGTTTGTTTATCTTCATCAACTCCGTCTTCTCTATGTTCCCCTGCAGTCCTGTCAGCCTCTTCAGCCAGTTTGTTGGTTTTCGACTGCAAGTCTCCGAGTTTGTGTGACAATAAACATAAATCATCCACATGCGAAATCGTGATCTTCTAGAGTCTTCTTATCGGTGGCTCAAAGCATTTCCTTTTACTCTTTCTTTCTTTCAACAGTCTGACGCATAATCCAGTCCACTACAATTGGGAATATCATAGTGGGAGATAGTAGGCAGCCTTGTCTTACCCCTGTATTCACTTCGCGTGCTTCGCTGAGTTTTCCGTTGTGGATCACCTGACACATGTCAGTGCCTTATAGCGGGGCACTTTACGCCACAGTGTTGAAGTAATTCCTAAATAAATTCTTGTTCACCTTTGTCAAAAACTTTTTCGACATTTTTCGAAGTTGATGAAGTTGAGGTAGACGTTTTGACTGCCATTCTATGCCTTTTCCGATGAAGATACATAGAGTTGCGATTTGATCCGCAGCACATGATTTACCTTTCCTGAATCCAGCCTGTTCTGTTCTGGTTGGCGGGGGGGGGGGAGCTCTACATTCAGTGTATCTTTTAAAAACAAGTCAATAATTCTGAAGTAATTAGAGAAAAGATTCAAATCTGAAACTCAGGATGCACATCTTTTCTTATTTGAGATACATCAGATGGATGTACAGCTGCAATCTCAGGGAGAGTTGATGTTGTCACTTGAGAATAGAACCCTACACTCATCATTTCAAACGTAAAAGCATTATCCATGAGAACCGTCTTTTGTGAACTAATTATAATTCGTCTTTTAAATGAATTGGCAATTGCTGTTGATTGCTTATGCTGGATCAAAATGCACAGTCCTCCTTAACACGTTGATGCAGGAACACCATCAGTGACTGGATTGTGCAGATGCATCCAGCCGAAGAGTCACAAATGGAGTGAAACATCCAACCTAAGCTCCACTGCTAGTCATCACCAAGCATGTTATCTTTAGACATCGTCAAAGCATCCTTATTGGGACCTGATATGTCAACAGAGATCAAGCGTTTCAGTTTAATTGTGATCAATCATCGGGATGTACAAATTAACCTCACACAAAAACAAACGATAACTGATATACTTCGCAAAAAACAGGTGTCTGTCGTTCGTGGCCCTCATGGATAAGTCTTTGGCGTTTGAAACAATGATTGGAGGGTTTGAGTCTCAGTGGGGGACACAAGCATCACTCACTCACTAGGAATGCAGGTACATCCAGCTGACGAGTAAGTCTCACATAGGACTATCAGTCAACGTCGATCAAAATAACTCCAATTTAATCTTAAGACATGACTAAAGCATCCGTACTAGGCAGGAGCTGACATGTCAGCAACAGACATCGAAACTACCGGTGATCCCAAGTAGCCAATCAGCGTCAAGTGCGAAATTTAACATAAAACGATGATAATAATAAACACAAGCTATGATATTAGACGGTTGGAGACAATCGGCAGGAAACCCTACTTGACCTAGGTTTCGTACTAGCTGGCACTCGTCAGCAAGGCGTATCTGCAACCTGCGTCACTCAGTGTGTGCTGCAGTCGGAGGCGTTACCACTGAGCAGCTATTCGGGCTCGCGGTTGACCTCCTGTAGAACCAAATCAATGTACACCATGATGGCGAGCTACCTAGAATGGGGTGGCCACATTGCAAACTTCACTGACTGATAGAATTCAGTCTGCACCAAATACCAAGGACTAGACACATCACACTAGTTACTAGTGTCCAATCAAATACAAGCTATTTCAGAAATTTAAAAAGAAATCAAGAGCGCAGTTATGATACACGCATGTAGAGAACATACCATTTTATTTGCAGACTTGGACATAACTGATAGATTGGTTTCATTCAGTGAATTCTCTTCATCTGTACTATACTCTTCTACAAGATCTAAACGTTTTACACCTATTTGGTTCGTTGTAGGATTATCATTTGACGGTTTTCTAATCAACAGATCATCACCGTCATCGTCGTCGTCGTCGTCAAAATCGTTGTCGTCTTTGTCAACTTCAGAGATGATTACGCTTTTCGTCTTATTTGAAAGTGATGCGCCAACTTGTGCTGTATTCAATTTATGCGTATCGTTAACTGTTTCACCAGTTTCACTATCCACATTATTATCATCGGATAATTTTGAGACAGCGGGGAATGTTTTGATAAATTTGGCCGCCTCTGGAACCAGCTCAAGATATTCTTTTGGCAGTGAAGAGATGAATGGTAATCCTAAGTCAAGGGAACAGTGAAGGTGTAAGAAAGAATGCAAGGCGATTGAGCAACAAAAAACAAAAAGTACGACTTTGCAATCAAGTGAAGAAATTTACATACATCAAGGTAGAGACAAGAAAAAATATATACCTATGACGAGTCTGAGGAATCACATCTGGGCCAATGAGGACGATTTTAAGCAATATCACCACCAATAGCTATTGGTTCTTAGTGTTCAGAGAAATCTAACCAGGTAGTCGACAATTCATTGACTGGCTGGCTTAAACCAACTGTTAAAAACTTCGTGAACTGATGTCAGGTCTTATAATTTGACCACTCCTGACTCTTTTTTTATAACCTAATTGTATGTCAGGTAACATTGCCGAACGAGGAAGTAGATGGCCAAGTGTGCGTAACACATTTCCTAGCCATTTTAACCGAGGCAGTCTTACTACTACAACAGAAACGAACTTATTTCTGACCAAGAACTTGAAATAAGAACGAATGTGTCACTTGAGGATATAGTGCTGAGAGTAAAGTTATGCTTGACTCCCACACTACTTAAATTCCAGGGGAAAATATACAAACAAACTGAGATAGTTGCCATGGGGTCACCAATATCCCTGGTTGTGGCAGATATATTCATGGATAGGTGAGGAAACTTAGCGATTGAAACGTTCAGCCTCACCCCAAAAGTATGGTGGGGGTATGTAGATGACACATTCACTGTACTTAGAACACAGGATATAGATAGATTTTTCGAACACATCAATTGAAAGGTGGAGGCAATTCAATTCACTTATAAAATTGGAAAGTCAGGATTGTAGCATAAAAAGGAAAGAAGGTGGGAAGTTAAACACAGCAGTGCGCTTATAGGAAACCCACACATTCAAACAGATATTTAGATTTCCGATCATCCCATCTTATATCAGTAAAAATAGGATTGGTGAAATGTTTAAGTATTAAGGCACAAAACTAAGTAGTACCAAGGAAAGTCTAAGACGACAGGAAGTGAGACATATAAAAGAAGCTTTGAAACTTAATAATTACCCTGATAAATTAATCAGGAAGTATGGAGGGAAATGTAAAAATAAAATAAATAATGATAGTAGTGATAGTGATAAGTACAATAATAATGATAATTATATTAATAATGATATTAATCATAATAATAGTAATATTAATGACGACATGCATGTCAATTATGCACAAGACAACACCGACAATAAGGCATCTGAATCATCAGTAGTAACTCCATACAAGGAAGGAACCTCGGAAACCTTACGCAGAATTCAAACCCACAAACTCAATTAGAAACAAGCGTTGTTGGTTAAAGGATCCTGCTGTGGAGCCAATTAAACAAAACAATTTAGTTTATCTAATACCCTACCTGCAATGACGGTCAGGTCAAATACATAGGTCAAAGTAGTAGAACAGGTGCAGTCACACTAGCCGAGCATTTAAACCTAGCAGCAAAATCTAGGTTAGTTGACCCGAATGAGATAAGAAATCTAGAGAATAGTTCAGCTATAGCACTATATGCAATTACACACAACCATACAATAGGATGGGATAGGATGACAGTTTCTAAAATCTAATGTAACAAGGTGAATGGAGGAAGAGATTGATAACAGAAGCTTTGTTTATCGAATCAACTGCAAACACGTGTAATAGGAATGATTTAACACCTCTCCACCCTGACGTCTAGAAAATTCTACTACCTCTGCGCCAAATAGGAAAGAATAAAGCAAACTATAAAACGGAAGTTTCGAAGTCGTGTTATGGTGAGAGCTGTCTACTAGCCAAATTGGTAGACATTAATTTACGTCAATGTTTACGTTCGCGAGATTGGTCGTGAGAAAGTATGAACAAAGATTGATTCAAAGCCGACCACAGCAGACTTTGCGTAGGCGGATACAGTTAACATATAGATGATCTGACATTCAAGAAACAGTCACAAAGAGATGAAAGATTAACTTTAAGTGAGAAACAACCCATCGGAAGACTGTGTTTGTTTGCTTACCTAAACTATAATAATGTACATGAAAATATATAAATATGCTTTGATTTCCTTAATAAACGATCTATTGCCTGGCCCTTGTCTTCTGTTGTTACAGTGTGATTATAATTGATATGATTATGAACAATAAATTGTTTGAAACGTTATCCAGTAAATTATAGTGTTTCACTGTGTGTCTGATATATCTAATAAACAAATTAACATGGAACTACATCATTTAACTTCTGCACTTAATCTCATTATAGTAGAATTCGCGAATATAGTGGATGGTGGGAGATTTTTCAAGAAGCAAAGAGGACTGGATAACTGTTTCATCCTCCTAATGTGTAGAATGTTTTTGGCGGTGGCAAACGTTGACGCACCCACACGAAAACTGATGCAGGACTTTGTATACAAACGAATCCGTCTAAATTGTCATACTAAGCAACAGTACACAAAAATATATGTGAAAAAAATGACATCACAGACGATTTTAGACCATATACACAGCATATAACATCTATTGTTCTGCATTTTAACTAATCTATTTTGGGAAAAGTGATTCGTTGTAGATCATATATTCATATATTCACCCGAAAGGGAAGCGGCGAGTGGGACGTCCAAGGGTGACATGGAGGAGATCGTGTGAGGAGGAGATGAAACAGTATGGAATAACATGGACGCAAGTGAAAAGAACAGCAGAAGACAGAAGCAAGTGGAGACGTGCAGTTGAAGCCCTATGTTCCACTAGGAACCCAAGGGAACAATAATAATAATAATATATATAATGTCGACTGATAAGTCAGTTAGTCAGAGCTCAGGTATCCAGTACCCGGCTATTAAACACATTGTGTGAGAGCTAATGATACTACCCAATTGCCACCCAAGCTGAAGTAGGTGAGGCAAGATTCAATCTTTGGGACCACTGTCTGGAAATCGAGTCATTAGGACAATGAACCACAGCTCCACATTATCGATGAACGAGAAAAAGAGGAGTGACGGGTAGGGAAACAAAAACCTAAATGCCAGTGGTATTCTATAATAAGATGTATGTTCACCGGCAGTGCCTCTTCCGGTGTCTTGCCTTGCCATATTCAAAGTATTGGTCTTCTCTGGCCCTCATTCTTAGTGCCGCTACTTTAGGCTGCAAATCTTCAACCTTCTGTTCCTATTCGTTCAATTTCGGTAGCTCTATTGAGGCTACCGTTGTGCTCAACAGCTGTCTGATCACCTTCGCTAGCTCACCGATGTCCACGGGTTGTGCAGCATTAACCAGTTTTTAGTTGCTGAGAAATGTGGTCTAGGACACTCTCAATGAACTGGGACGCCAACAGCTGCGACTCCAACTCTACGTCCAATGTAGGGAGTGTACGACGTAATGGGTTCGTCAGCTTTATCACCAACACTAGCGTGTCCCAGCTTCGCGGCACGGGACTGCTGCATCGCCAGCTGCCTGTCCATCGGGCTGTCGAACTCAGCGACCAATAGTCCAACCAATACCTTTCAGGTCCCCGTCTCACCTGACTGCTCCACAATGTAGTATGCCACCTTTTCTCGACCTCTCAGCAGCGTCCCAGCTCGACCGGCTTCGCTATCGGACCCTTGGCACCCAACTCAGCGACGACCTCAAGGTCCTGCAAGAAGCTCCGTTTGTCTCCTTCCTCGAAAGCAAACGACCATGGGATCTTCATTGTCTGAAGGTAGCGATACCAGTTGTAACGGTAGAAGACGAGAGAGACCTGGTAAAGGAATGTTTATTCGGAATTTGGTATCGCTATGCAGTGAAATTATTTACATCTTTTCTTTCGTTTTGTGCTATTTCTCTCCTCATGTTGTCTTTCTTTGGGTTCCTTTCACGTTTCCCATATATCTCCTCAACGTTGTATCATTTACTTTCTCTGACACCAAATGTATCTCCCTGCTATTTATGTGTTTATGCTGATGAATGTCTATTTATATACTACTGATAAATCTTATCAGTAGCACACGCCACAAAGCGTGTTATAGATGACAGACTGAATTATTGATCAACAAAGATTTTGTTCAACTTTGTTAATGAACAGACATTACACACCAGAGGGAATCTCGAATAGAGTCCTAACGGGAATCGACAACTTGGGCAAGGGTCCGAGGGTATCATGGAGAAGATCATGCGGGCAGGTAATTAAAGCTGCTTATGGCCGATCATGGAGTTCGTAAGCTAAAATAAAACAACTGCAAAGAACATAGTGAAATGGCGTTGTCAAGCTGGTGCCCTATGTTCCACTATGAACCTGTCATTCGTTCAGACGTCCACTTGAACCGAGTGAGTTACCCAGAATAGACATTTCAAGTATCAAGCTATGTGTCACACTTACGGAATGAGAAGGACTGATGATATTATTCAGTTCCAGAGTTGGAATCGAATCCAGGACCGATCGGTTAAGTCTCCACTGTTCCTTTAACACATAAACAACAAACCGTCTGTGACAAAACAAGAGTAACATTTCAACTTACCTAGAGAATTTGCAAATTTTTCTATTGGTAAAGATTGTGCATTAAATACACTGAGTATTTCATCAGTATTGTGCTGTTGTTGTTGCTGTTTTTGCTTTTTCCCTTTATTACCTCTTGCCATTAAACAATAATCACGTAGATATGCCGTGAAGGCTAAACGCGCTGAACAGGATAAATCAAGTTTACGGACTAATAAACTAGGCGATTCTTTAGACACTCTACAATGAAGTTTTGATTCTGGGAATCTGTAACAGTAAGAAAAAAAAGAGAAAGAGAAGAAGAAATTGTCAAGTTTCGTTTTAAATTTGACCACAGATTATGATATTGTGGTGAGAGCTGTCTGCTAGCTATTCACTGCCTTCACGTGGTGGGGTAGTTCCACACAAAAGTGAAACGGTGAATTTGAACATCTGGCGTTAACAACTGAACTGGTGAACATGCTTCAGGTCTACCTAGGGGAACTGGAAAAGCTTGATTCTAAATCTGTGGTGTAGATGAGGAAGCTCCAGAATCCGAAAGGATCTAATGGCGTGTGAACCTGTTTCAGTCATCGTCAATCATAGGAACATAGCTCCACTGCCTCATGGATCAGGTTTCACTTCAAAAGCTCGGGAAGAGAGGGGGTGGCCCATCAAGACAACCACCCACTTTATAATGGGTGTCCGGGCAGTACCCTAAGTCTCACACGAACTAAGACACTTTGTGTGGTACAATTCGTGGTGCTCAGTTTTTTTAATAATAATAATAACAATAATAATAAATTCAACATCAATTGCCCATTTAAAAGGCTTACTTTACTGGTCTAAGGATTACAGATCGTTTAGAAAGAATATCAACCAGATTACTTTCAGATGGTAGTAGAAATAACAATGATCTGCCAACATGACCATGACGAGCAGTTCGACCAACACGATGTACATAATCTTCAATATGATGTGGACAGTCAACTTGTACAACCCAATGTACACTGGGAAAATCTAGATTGGAGGGTGAGATCGTGAAAAGTAGAAAAACAGAAAAAAACAACAGTTTTTTTTAATTATGGGATTTCGATTAATTTCAAGTGTCATGAACTAACGTAGCAGTCAGAGAGGTTACTGAAAACCAGGGAGCACTGGACAGCTGTCCCGTCCTAGTTTGGAACTCTTACAGCAGGGAGCACTCACGACCTACCCCATCATCAGGGATCGAACCCAAGACCATTAAGCTAGAAGACCCAGCTTGCTCACGTTTCAGCCACTTGGGCTGTAATTCAATGACCTATAATCTCCAGGTCACTGTTGACTACTGGATGGGTGCGGTGAAGCTGTACTGAGGAGTCATGACTATTGGGATCCACCATGCCAGGGTGAAGTGGATACTCGTAGAAGGTATTGTCTGAGGGTAGCGCTACACACCATAAATTGACAAAATTAGGATTCACAGGTTATCGAATTGCAGTTCGAGTGGCTGAATAGTCAGTGAGCTTGGTTTTATAGCCTGTACGTCCCGGGTAGATGTCATGGGTGCCCACTTCTGAAGAGTCCAAACTAGGACGAAATAGTTGTCCAGTACTCCAACACTGGTTTTCAATGACCTCTAACTGATGCTGGTTCGTGACGCAATCTAACAGTTGAAAGATAAATAGTTTGTTACATAGAATAGAATAAATTACAGAATTTGTGTGAATCGAAGCCTGTTGTCAAACTTTTTAAAACAAGATGCATTATTCACTATCGCGGATGATTTATGTTTGATGTCACACAAAATCGAAGACTTACAAGCGAAAACCGACAAACTGATCGAAGAAGCAGCAAAGACAGGACTCCAGGTGAACACAGACAAGACGGAGGTTATGAAAATAACCAACCAACAACAAAAACAGCAGCAGCAACATCCAGCGCCAATCCCCATCAACGGGAGGGATTTGAAAGAGGTCACTTCATTCACTTATCTAGGGAGCATTGTCTCAACTACAGGAGGAACGGACGAGGATGTCAAATCGAGAATCGGGAAGGCGAGAAACACATTCATCAACCTGAAACCAATCTGGAAATCTTCGTCACTCAGCCTGCATCAACAACAAAATTCGGATTTTCAATACAAACGTGAAGTCAATTTTGCTATACGGATCAGAAACTTGGCGGGTCACAAAGAATATCTCCAACAGGTTGCAGACCTTTATCAACAACTGTCTTCGCTCTGTACTGAAGATCAGATGGCCGGAAAGAATGACCAACAAGAAACTATGGGAACAAACAAAACAAGAACCAATCGCCCAACAAATATGCAGGAGAAAGTGGAGATGGATTGGACACTCGCTGAGGAGGCCGTTGGGTGACATCGCACGTCAGGCCAGTGCTCGAGTGGAACCCGAAAGGGAAGCGGTGAGTGGGACGTCCAAGGGTGACATGGAGGAGATCGTGTGAAGAGGAGTTGAAACAGTATAGACTAACATGGATGGAGGTGAAAAGTACAGCAGAAGACAGAAGCAAGTGGAGACGTGTAGTTGAAGCCCTATGTTCCACTAGGAACCCAAGGGAATAATAATAATAATTGCATTGACAAACAGTTCCAATTATGAGTATAAAGTCAGAAACATTTGTTCTCCGAAAGGAATTATTAATAAGGCAAGATGGAGCATTTGCCCAAATGGTTGAAAAAAAGCTGAAGTCAAAGTTGCCAAAAACGTTAATTAAGAAAGGGCATCTTATAGACAATAGACAGGATATCGACGCTGTTAAGTCATTCATCACTGTGACACCAGTAGACAAAATGAAACAGGAAGATGTTTGCAATTATGGAAGTTTTCTCAGTAAGAGTTTTTATAAACCTTCTCTCTCCCTACAGAAGAAAATATTGACCAGGAAGGATAAGCGATAATCAACACTGCGAACAAACTAACCAAGGACCTATTGCTTAATCAATACAGGTGGAAAGAAATAGGGATGAATCGGACGGGTGCTAACATCGCTCTCTAGGCTCTCAGGTGGAATCAAGAGGGGAAACGGTGAGTCGGACGTATGCCCCAGGGTGACACAGGGGAGATGAGAGATTATGGACAATCGTGGGCCCAGCTAAAGAGGACTGTAGAAAACAGGACGAAATGGGGATGTGTTGTTGAAGCCCCTATGTAGGCATCACTGTATGTAGAGTATTCAGCAGCTGAAGTGTTCTAACGATATTTGATGAATTCATTAAAAATCCTGCTTTATTAACCCTATTTATTGCTTGTTTTGTATTGTATAAAGGCTGACTACACTACTACCTGGCTACTGGGTCATACACTGAAAACCTACACCATAAATTGTGGTTTCAGCAGTCAAACTTTATTATTCATCTTCAGACAATACGTGTGGATGTTTACCAAATGTAAGGAAGTGCAAGCGGTTGTTCAGTCCTGTATTCAAAACCTATTCACTGTATTTCGCTCTAAGGAGAATGATTGGTACCATTCGCTCTTACACCTTTGTTGTGATTTATAACTGAATACACTGGGTTACAGGATTTCTCCATGAGCTGATATCAGTTAGAGAACAAGTGGAAAACCTGAGAGTACTGGGAATTCAGATGTTTCGTCCTAGATTGGGACTCTTCACCAACACGCACCCACCGCCGAAGTTCGAATCCCTGACTTTCCAGCTCGTAGACCGTAAGGCCATTGGGACCCGATCCAATGGCCAAACTATGAATTCCAACTTCTGCCAATTCACGATTAATACACTGGGTCTGGTAGAATAGTAATGGAAGCAAACGGTTGAAACCCTGCCACGATCCATATCCTCATTTCATTTTCAACCATTACTTATCAAGCCAATTATATAGTTTTCTTGTAGTGGTAAAGAATTGCTTAGAAATCCTCAGTTCACGCGTTTATCACCACCCAATGTTGGGTGGTGACATTTGCCACTTTCAATTGGCTAAACTAAAGGTGGACGGTCAAGTATGCAAGCAATTTGGTACGATGTAACTTTACGTTCGGTTGTTCGTGGATGCATTACTGCTTAACAGTACCTATCTCAAAATATATATTTCGTATTTTGGAAAGTTTAAATGCTGTCTGGCTTAGCGAGGTAAAGGAGTGCGTCGGCCGGGTATCGAACCCCGGACCATGTGCATGGTTGGAGAGCGTTTTAACCGCTACGCCACCTCGCTAAGCCAGAACTAAAAATGCTGGTGAAGAGGAAAGGTTTGGCATGAGGTTAGCAACCCCATCCTGTAAAAAATAAACACTGCTACAGAAACTTCAAGCCTCTAGCTTGAAGCCCTATGTTCCACTGGGAACGTGAAGGAATAAAAAAAATGCTGTCTGGTTTGCCTTACTAAGTGTTGTTTGGTCTACTCTGCAAATAAGCATATTTGGGGATTGAAGGACGGTATAACACACATGTAGTTTGATATCATTTTTGTAAGCATACATCATTCCACTCGCCCCCCTCCCCAAAACAGGTGAGGCCACAAATAACTTTCACTCAAAGATAGAGTGAGTTTTTTTTCTTTTCTTTTCTGTGCTTGCTTGAACTATTTTTAAAGCTATTATTACTAAGTATGACCAGACTCCAAGACCTATATTCATCAGATCAAACGACGTGGCGATACAACTCATGTCATTTCGGATAGACAATACGGTAATGTGGTTTTTGTACGCTCAAGCGGACCTCCACGAACATAGTGTAACACATCTACCTTCACAATTCCTAGCAATCACACGAGCTTTTGTTATAAAAATTGAACAGGTAAGTCACAGCACACATGTTTACACCCCCCACCGCGAAGTAAGTAATCCCTACAAGTTTCTTGAAGAGAAACAATCTCTTGGATCTGATGATACTAGGATGGTTGGAGGCAATCGGCAGGAAGCCTTGCTTGACCTCCTAGGTTTCGTGCTAGTTGCCTCCAACTATCGAATATCATCAAATCAATGTGCGCACCGTGATGATGAGCTACCTAGAATGGTGGTCACATTGCAAACCTGACTGACTGATAGAATTCAGTCTGCATCAAAGAAAGGACTAGACACATCACACTAGTTACTAGCGTTTAATCAAATCTCTCGGATCGTTAACATAGGCATATCTCAACGACTAGTATCAGTATGAGATCAATCACACTGGTGATTAAACCGTCACCGCTCTCGTTCAAAAACTAAACCAAATGACAGTAAGAATCCAAAATGCTATTGGTATCGTAATGCCTACCCCACCAGGATGCAAACTGTTGTGAGAAATCTTGGAGTTTTAACAAAGACCTTAAGGAACTAACTATAGTATCAGGTGATTACGCTTGTTTCGTTGATTGCCACTTATGCTATAAAGCAGATCACATAATTTCGATTCACAAAGGACACTGTAGTGAAGCTTCATCTCGGACTGTGTCAGTTGAAAATGGTGAATTAATTTGCAGATTTCATTCAATGTATTACCACAGTTCGTCCAAGTAGCTAGTCAGAATTCGGGTAGTTTGAAAACTAGTTCGGCTGTCTCAGCTATGCGAAAACCAGTTACTCCACTAATGAGTCCAGTTCCAAATGTGAGAAACGGCCTCCTGGTGTTTTGATCCCTTCGGTGATCTCAGTGGTGGTACCTAACTACTCATATCAATCCATTAGTAGTATATAAAAATGGATTTTATCGTAAATAGTGCTAGCTCGACAAAGAGTACTTCTTTCGTCTTTCATTTTCCCCTGTAATAATCACCCACCCCTAAGATGATCAATTTGTTATCAGTCAGTAAAGACTAATACTTATTAGAACTCAGTTATTCCCCTGAGTTCCTAGTGAGATGGAGGGATTGAAGCTTCAGGTCTGAAGTGGAAGAGTGCATCAGTCGGGAATCCAATCCTGGCTACGTGTATGGTTAAGGAGTACTCTACCAGTGAGCCACCAACGCAGCGGGACTCAAACTCACTCCCCCCCCGACACAAGGCCTGATACAGTTGAATGTTTAAGAAGCCAAATGGAGGTGTACATTTTCAAATTGACACTTACCTAACCCACGTTCAGCTAAATTTGTTGCCAATAGAACTGAACCTTGTGGACAATTAGCAAAATGATCATAAACTTGAAAACGTTTCTGTTGATTCATATTACCACGTAATTGTAAAACTTTAAAATATGGTCTCAACTGTTGAAATAATTCATAAACAAATCGAACCTTTAAACAAGGAAAAATGAGACATAAAAAATAAATAAATAAATAAAGGGAGAAATTGCATAACACAAAAGGCAGGTAATTAATGGACTAGACAGTTAATCTTTCACACCAGTTCTCCTTATTTATTCCTCCACGTTCCCAGTGGAACATATGGGGCTTCACACTAGTGGTGTTTTTATTTTTACGAGATGGGGTTGCTAGCCTCATTATGCCCAACCTTCTCTCTTTATCAGTCTTATTACTGGCTTAGTAAGGTAAAGGAGTGCGTCTGTGGTCAGGAATCGAACCCCGAAACACATGCGTCGTCGGTCGGCGAGCATTCTATTGCTGTGCTACCAACACACACCAGTATTTAGCATAAAATAAACTGTTCAGTCTTAAGAAGAATTTGACTGTAATTGAATTTCAGCATAATAGAACTTTGAGAAGTAGTTCACGTTGCCAACCCCCCAAATAGCAAAAGTCGAACAAATTAGAGCCTAGTTAAGAAAGACATTACTACGCTGTGAAAAGCACTTAAATCTATCAGTAGGACGAGTGGTATACTACCGTAACGACAGAAGACAAGGGGGCCAGGCAACAGATCGTTTATTGAGAAAACCAACAGAAATTTGTAGATTTTTATGTACATTATTGTCAGTGAAGAAGCAACGTCTGCTGATTGGTTGTTTTCTTGCTCAAGGTTATCCTGTAGTGCTTGTGACCGTTTCTTAGAAAGTTAGGTCATATATCTGCGAATCGTATTTGCAAACGTTACGTCTGCTGTGATTGGCTGGTGAGTTTCTTAAGGTAAATTGCTGCCTTCAATTTTGGCTTGCAACCAGTACTACTACTAAAATGACCAACCTGATTGATTGAGTTTCAGCATAGAACTATACTCAGAAGTATTAGATGGTTGGAGGCAATCGGCCACAGGAAGCCTTGGACCTAGGTTTCGTGCTAGTTAGCACTCATCAGCAAGGCATATCTGCAACCTTGAAGGAACTGATGTCCCTTCTGAGATTTGAACCCGCGTCACTCAGTCTGCACCGAAGATAGGACTAGACACATTACACTAGTTACTGACTAGTGTGCAATCAAAAATATACTCAGAAGTCCACTATTTGAAGTTGCCCCATACTCCTCCATATTTCACACAATGGTTAAGGGAAGAATATCGCTCAAAAAATAAACAAATCAATAATGAGTAGAAACACATACGAGGGGGAAAATGAATGCACGGATCTGATGGGTTATAGAGAGTGAATCCAACAAAGCCTTAGAGAATGATTTTAAGCCATACATTATCAGTTAATAACAATATCACACTTATTGTTGAAAATATCTACAGCATTGACGTTATGAATGCCCTGGAACAACTTGGAGACAAGATGTTGATCTATGAAGTGATTAATTGTTGTTACAATTCGTATAAAAACCAACTGGAGACCAATGAAACGAATTATTTAAAACTTTTGCAGGATATGGCTTGGAACTAATCTTATAATAGCTGGAGATGTCAACAAGACTGGTAATAAATCACACATGATAAAAAATGAATGTTCACAGAAAAATACACGATTTCCAATAATACTGTTTGATGGATGATGACTAACAGAGGAATCCTGTAAGTGCGGATTTCGTCCTATTTGAGACTCGCCATCCGGATGTGTCTACAATCCCAGATAAGTAATGTCATCCTCACTGAGACTCGAACCCAGTACTCATCGTCGGTTCCAGATGTTGAAGCATTACCCACTAGGCCCACTTGGGCTATGAGAGCCTTCCTTTGTGCAACGGCTATCAGTTATTATTAATCTAAATTTAGGAATACTGGACAGCTGTTTCGTCCTGATCTGCGGCTCCTCATCACTACGCACCCATTGGGGTTCGAACCCAGGACCTCCCAGTTACAAAACGAGCTCATAGACCATTCAGACAGTAGGACCCCACTCAATGGCCAGCCCATAAATTCCAATTTCTGCCAATTAGCAATGTGTGTATATATAGCGCAACCGCAAACCAATGTCATAGGTGAGTAACTGTGCTCTTACCTGACTTCCTGGTGGATCCTACTGGTTATGACCTCACACTAGAACTACAGGAAACTTACTGTATAGAACCAGCCACTGGAAAGCCTGGGAGTACTGTATGAGTGGGCCACTGGATGCGGTCTCAGTTACTGTATAGTCTACGAGCTCGCCTTGTAGCTGGAAGATCCAGAGTTCATACTCTGACGGTGGGTGAGTACTTATTAAGAGTGCCAAACTGGGACAAGACAACTGTTTAGCACTCCAGCACTGGTTTTCCAATGGTTTTATAAATGATATCAACTCGTGATCAGACCTGTAACCAATCCAATCCCTACTAACCAACACTTGTTATTCGGTTTTATTTCCTATTTCCAGCTGATTGATTCTATAGGACCGAAATGTTCAGTTAAGTATACCAAAGCAATCTGTCTGTCTGGATTCAACATAGAACTTGGAACCGAAGTGCAGCAGTTCGAGTTGCCACGTTCCAAATAGCACACAAAGGTAGACAAGAAAATGAGTGAAGGGAATCAGCAGAGTTTTGACTTGACCTGCTACCTTGACGTGGTGGTCGGGCTTGAACACCGCAATGACCCGACAAGCTATACTGGCTGAGACTTATGTCGCTTGAGGTCCTACCATGCCAGAAAGGTTGTTTGGATAGCGGTTAGACAAAAAGCAGTTACCCAATCCAATTGCTATGACCCAAACAAAATCATAAAATATCATTCCGGATAGGTCGGGGCCCAGATTAACAACAACGACCGCGCTTCCTACTGCTGTGTCACAGGGCAGAAGTGGTACCAAAGCAATAACGCTTTGGCTTTTGAAATTACGGGAGCCGGGTTCGACTCTCAGTCGGAACATTGTCACTCACTCACTCAGGAGGAAAGATTAATAACAAGGATCAAGTCAATCTATGATTTGCAAATGTCAGAAGAGTGATATACAACCAAGGAAAGAAACAGATAATAATTACAAAGTTCTTTGAAACTTCCAAATAAGTATATACTATGACTCCATTATTGAAGCAATTTTTGATAAAGTCATACAGTGTTATATTAATATCCATAATGAGTTATACTCTACACAAGTTTCATCCTTACATTTATAAATACTGTGATTGGATAGTTTAGTCATTACACACCAAATAGCATCATCTTAATCGTCAGACATCGTCACAGGCTCCGTACTAAGAGCAGATATTTCAACAGAGATCGAGCATTTCGGTTTAGTACTGCATATAAGCGTAAGATAAGGTTGTCTATTATCACCCACGATGATATTCCTAATGGTGGTGGACTGGATTATACCTCAGACTGTGGGAAGCGAAGAGTCAGGAATACGCCGGACCACCGATAAGAAGACTCTAGAAGATCTGGATTTCGTGCGTGGATGATTTATGTTTAATGTCACACAAACTCGAAGAACTGCAGGCGAAAATTAACAAACTGGCAAAGGAAGCAGCAGAGACAAGACTTCAAGTAAACATAGAGAGGACACAGGTGATGAAGATAACCAACCAACCAGCCATAACAACAGGTACCAATCACTATCGACGGAAGAAATTCCAAAGAGGTCAGTTCCGTCACTTATCTAGGCAACACTGTTTCAACTACAGGCAGTCGGCATGGATTGAGATGTCAAAACCACAATCGGAAAGGGTAGGGCAAACCTTCATCACTCTGTAATCAGTGTGGAAATCTCCTGCACTCACAGTCAGCATAAAGAACAAGATTCAGATTTTGAGAAAACTAGTGCTAAGTCAGTCAGTTCTTCTTTATGGGTCAGAAACTTCACGAAAAGCGCTTCCACTTTTATCAACAGCTGCCATCTTCTCTGACTCCCTACTGGTCAGAAAGAATTAGCAACAAGAAACTCTGACTGGGAACAAACTTAGAGGAAAATGGAGATGGATTGGGCACACGTCACTGAAGAGACCATCGAATGACATCGCGCTCAGTGCAGGTCATCGAGTGGAACCCAAATGGGAAACGACAAGTTGAACGTGGGTCCGGCGGTGACATGGAGGAGATCGTGTGGCAGTTATGGGGCCTACTAATGAGGACTTCAGAAAATAGGACAAAGTGGATAGGCGCTGCTGTTGACGCCCTCTACGTTCCACTTGTTTCGACTACAGACGGAACTGAAGAGGATATCAAAGCAGCGAGGATCGGGAAAGCAAGGCAAGCTTTCATTATTCTCAAGTGTCTGTGTGGAGGTCAACAGCACTCAACATGAAAAATAAGATCAGAATTTTCAACTCCAATGTGAAGTCAGTGCTACTCACTATATGGATGAGAGATTTGGCGCCGCATCACGAAGGCCACTTCGAACAAACTACAGACCTTCATCAACAGCTGTCTTCACTCAATACTACTCAAGATCAGATGGCCGGCCAGAAAAGATCATCAACAGGGAGGGATCTCTGGCAATGAGCGAACCAACACACCAGGAACCCATTGTGCAAAAAATCAGCAGGAAGAAATGGAGATGGATTGGAGGCCATACTCTGAGAAAACAAACCATCACCAAGTGACATCCATCACACGCCAGGCCATCACTCGAGTGGAACCCGAATGGGAAGCGGCGAGTTAGTTGGTCGTCAGTGCGAGTGTGACATGGAGGAGGTCATGCAAAGAGGCGATGAAAGCATGTGGGCGGCAGATGTGGAGCCAGGTGAATACATTGGCAGAGAACCGAACGCAATGGAGACGTGCAGCTGAAGCCCTATGTTCCTCTAGGAACTAAAGGAAACAATAATAATATAATGTTCCACTTAGAACCCAAGAGAACAATAATGCAACCATCATAGATGAGCACAAACACACACACACACAACAGACAAAAAATACCCACTAACAAACCTGTTTTTGTGTTGAAAAGAATACAATAATCTTTTTCTTACAATGACTTTGTAAAAATGTCCAAAGTGTATCCAACTTTTGTTCTAATGGAACGATGGCATAATATTGAAGCAGTTCATCTGGTGTACGTAATTTTTCGCCTTTTTGATTGTCATTATTATTATTATTGTTATCATCCTTAACAATTTTATTATGACATGTGGATATGACAACTGGATTACGCATATTAAGACGAACAAGTTGATCTGTAGCTCTGTGTGTTTAAAAAGGAAGACAAATAAAAAGACAAGATGAAACCATAAGAAAAATTTATAAAAATTACGTATAAAGCATTCAATTTATGGTATTACTTTTATTATTATTATTATTAAAAACACAAACTTGGTACATTATGGGGGCTAAGAGATGCGAGAGGGTTGGGATACTTACTGCCTGGACGCATAGGAGGAAGCAGGTGGTTGTCTTAAAGGGCTATCCCGGCCTTTAAGCCTTTAACTTAAAGCCTAATCCATAAGACAGTGGAGGAGCGTCAGAAGCTGCTACGTTCCCATTGGTCTCCGGTGACTAAAACATCATCATACGCCATTCAATCCATTCGGTTTCTAGAAGTTATCTACACCATAGGCTTGTAATCAGGGTTTTCCGCTCCTCTAGATAGGTAGAGGTAGGTAGACCAGCATGTACACTAGTCTACTGGTAAGCGCCAGATATTTACATTCATCCCCCCAGTTTTGTGAGGAATACGCCCCCCTCCACGTGAAGGTAGGGAATAGGACTTACATCGGTAGAGGCTATGAATGCATAACTACATATGAGAGCATTTCGAGAGGAAGGCAGAAGTCTACCCACTGTGGATGGTACCAGGTTGTATATGTGAGTACATGGTACATTTCGTCAAAAACCGTCAAGAGTTTTAAAAAAAAAACTGTTGAGCAATAAATTGTACTCGAAACGTGGTCATCAGTTAATATTACTGTATAACACACTGTGTGATTTATCAAAATAAAATCTTATCCATAATGGAGTTATACTTGAGTGACATCACACGCCAGGCCCTTGAATAAAAAACAGGCGACGAGTTGGTCTGAGGGTGGCATAGGGGAGATCGTGTGATGATGAGGAGGAGATGAGAGATTATACGTAATTGTGAAGCCAGTTAAAGACAGCTTCAGAAACTAGGATGAGATGCAGATGTGATGTTGAAGCCATATGTTCCACCCGGAACCAAAAGGGATTACATGTATATATATGGTAAAATGACTGATATACATGAAAAACACAGTACAACATTAATTCCTGCTAAGCTTACTCACTTTGTTAAAGTTGCAGAAAATAATAAAGTTTGTCGATCAGGTGTTAAATTTTGAAGAATTATCTCCACATCTTGTCGAAATGTTGGATCCAATAGACGATCAGCTTCATCTAATATAAGTAAACGTAAATTGGATGTATCCAAAAGTGAATTCTCTGTTTGATGCTGGGCCATTCTACCCGGTGTACCAATGAGAATATTAGCTCGAGCTATACTATTCCATTCTTGAGTTTTTAAAGCCTATAAACATCAAGTGGAAGAGGTAGAGAGGAGGAGGAAGAGTTAAGGCGTTTAAGATAGGCAAATAGATGGTGATATGAAAACTCTGACTAATAGGTGTGTGAAGACCTGGTTCATTGGCTTAAGCATTTGACTTTTAGTTAGTAGGTACCGGGTTCGAATCCCGCCACACCTGCTTCAGCCAGCTGGTGTAGTAGTATCACCAGCCCTCATACAATAAATATGGCACATAGTCTGGAAAATGAAAAACCTATTCCGGGAACTTAGTTCACTGTCAGTAGTAGGTTGGAACACATTATTTCTTAGATTTGTCATGAAGCAATCTTCAATGGGACCGTTACTAGGTCCTCTACTGGCAGATCGTTTCATGGCAAGTTAAGGAAATGGAAAAAGCCAAACGGAGAAGCTGGCATTACTCAGTAACGGAATCAAAATAATAAACTCCCGAACTGATTGATAGAGTTTCAACGTAGAACTGTACTCAATAGTGCAGCAGTTCAAGTTGCTACACTCTATTTACTACACTGAGGTATAGAAAAAATTCAAACGGACTACAGTGAGCAGAAATGTACGAGAGAAGGGAAACATCAGATAACAAATGGTGAATGCATCTGTGCCACTGTGAATGGTTTTGAGTCATATAGCCAACAGTCTCCAGCCATTTGGTTCTTGGTGTCTCAAGGATCTCAATCAGGCAGTCTACACCTCCTTATGTGTCTGGCTGAAACAAAATGTCAGACTTCATGGACTCCAGATTACGAGATTTGTGGGCATTTGGACTAAATTCAATTATTAGATTTCGTCGCGGACCAACATCTATTAGAGAGAACATTGGAAACCAGAGAGAACTGTTTTGTCCTATTTTGGGACTTTCTAGAGGTACGCACCACCCACGACCCCACCAGGGATCGAACCCGGAGCCTTCAGGGTAGGGGACCAAGCTCGTTGACCATTCAACCACGTGGGCTGGATGGAATTCAATGACTTGTGAATTCTAACTTTGTCAATTCGTCATGTAGCCGTACTTCATAGACTGATGGCAGGTTTTCATTTGACTACCCCTAATTCTAATCCTGTTTAATCATGTGTCTGTTAACATCGCCCGTCGGGGAAGGTGATGGTTCGGTGTGGGCTACACGTCTCCTAGCCATCTCCACTGAAGCCGCTTCACAACCTTATCGATTCACTTTCCCTGCTTACACCTAACACTGTACACTTAACCTTATTATTGCTCACCATATTATACCACTTAACACAACAGACAGAATGTAAACATCTGTTGTCGAAGACAGCTAGCCTCTTTAAGTTATCCACTTTCAACTGCTACATCTCACATCCATAAAGGAGGACAGAGCAAACTAGTGCGTACTATGCACGTTCTTTGATCGATAGCCAGGTATGATGTCTACGCTGAAGATGGAGCATTTGTATTCAACCTAAGATTTCACCAGCAAACAGTCCATTGGGGCTGATGCAACTCGTAAAAACAAGTGAAGTGGTCTACACGCTCAACCATTTCACTCTACATCCTTAAGCTAAGAGTAGGCGCGCAAGCTACCAGTCCTGCAGCATCACTTCATATTTGACAGGGAGTTCGAACCCGTGACCAAGTGTTTGAAAGTTGAGAGCCTAGAGCAATCAACCATAGCTCCACCTGAAAATTATAACCTACTTACTCTCTGTAACATATTTGTTCGCTGTAATATCAGTAAAATTTTGTTTTTCTTGGGTTATGTGTGTGGTTGTTTCTTGAAGTATGATACCTCGGACTGATGAACTTATGTACAGAGTTCTATGTTGATTCTATGGAAATAAATCAGAGGTTTTCACACGAATGTGAGAAAATAATCATACAGTAAAAAAACATCAGCACTCACCGTCGGTTTACCACCCATAATATTCATGATAGTAAAACGATGTTGAGAAGCAATCTTCATCAATACACTACAGATTTGTCGTGATAATTCACGTGTCGGTGTCAGTATAATAGCCACTGGACCATCCAATGTGGAGACTTTATTCGCATAGAGTAACTCGAGCATAGGAATTAAGAAGGCAATAGTTTTACCACTTCCAGTCGGTGCTTCAACGACTACATCTGATCCAAGAAGAGCTGGTTTTAGAACTAATTTTTGAATATCTGTAGGCTTTGTGAAACCTGACTGCTTTAAGCCTTTTAAAGTTTCTTTTGATAAAGGAAATTGTGTGAAGTAATTATACTTGGAAGTATCTACCTAAAATAATAATGAAATAATAATATATTTCAAGGCATAACTTACATTTTGAAGGCGATCTTTAGCTTCAGCTAAGGCGCCACGAATATTATTAGACATGGAGAGATTCTACTTTGCTTGCAAGTACCAATATATTAACAATTTTATAGGAAATGGTGGCCGAACTAAAGCATATAACCTGTAGAATGGAATAAAAAAGCGACGGTGAGACAATTTATATCAACATAATAAAATTATATACAGAGAAACAGGCTAGAGACATTTTCACAAGTTATACGATCAACTGTAAGTGTTACCCACGAGTTGTGAGACTGATTATGAACAAGTTAACGAATAAAAAGATTTGAGATCAGAAGACACTATGGGATATAAAAAGTGTTACGAGAGAAACACACCTATTTGTAATCAACACCACCTCCAAAAATATATTGGTACCACTGAGAGTGGGTAGACATCAGTATTCAGACAGAAATGTTTTCATTTGGCCACGTGTTAATAGCCTCTCTCAGAAGATTCCTGTTCACTGCCTACACAAGGTGATTAGTGGGGTCCTTACAAGGATACGGACAAATACTCGCTAGCAGTCGTGCTAAAATCGAAAAATGATAGAATTTTGAACTGATTAGGCATTGGATTCTATCCCAGAGTCTGAAAGGTCAACAAGCTTTGCCTCATAACCTGAAGGCTCCCGATTCGACCTCCAGTGTGGTCGTGGGTGGGTACTGCCGGGCAGTCCAAAAAAAGACGAAGTATCTGTCCAGTACTTTATGGTTTTCAGTGGTTCTCTAACTGACATCGATCTATGGTCAACCTTGAAACATATCGAATCCCTACAAGCCAACTCTTGAAAAAACCTAAATATAAAAGCACCTATACATTATCAGGAGCTTTCTAGGTATCACATTTTTATGCCCATTGCATGCTAAAAGTATTTACAAATCTGTTGATTCATGATTTCTTGTATTTTCAGTGTACTACCTCAGAAGTGCTGAGGTAAATCAGCACACACATCTAAAGAAAAATGAGGTTTTATATATTTTAAAGTATGTCCAGACTTCTTAGCATGATTTATGAAACCTATACTGATTAAAGTACTCGAGGGGTTAGGCAAATAACTTGCTAAAATTGGCTCCACAATTTACCACATGAACTCTTACATTTCCGGCTGCAACATTTTTTCAAGCCAAATAAAGAACATACATCAGTGGGAGGACCATAGAGAACACTGGGTGGGTGCTGGGCAGCTATTTCATTCTTGTTTTGGGCTATTTACCAATAAGTACTCACGCCTCCATCCCCGGGGATCAAATCCAAGACCTTCAGGTTGCGGAGTGAGTCAGATAACTATTCAGCCACTGAGAGGGAATTCAACTTCTGGTAAGGCCATCACCATAGTGCTATCTGGTATCCTCCTTCTATCATCTAAGCCTGGATCCAAATAGATCACTTTATTATCAGCTACTGATGGTTCAGGGGCAAACCAAACTTCCATTTATTGTATGGATTCCGCTCAAGATCTGGTGTGTAGCAGGTTTTTTCCTGCAACTTGGTTGCACGTGCTACTGCAACCAAACAGAGCAAGACTTGTTGTTTGACACTCCTGAGAGTATAGACAATCATAAACATGGTGAATGTAGTGTTTATGAGTTAATCAAACATTCACCGATCAAGTGAGAATACTGAGGGCCCGCAATAAAGGCTTTATTCGTTTTATAATTCCAGTATAGGATCTGGTTTAAACAAAAATGAAAGATGTGAATAGTGTATAATATAAATGCTAAACGTTTATGAAAATGTTCACACCACATTCTTCTCCCCTTTTGTTTGAGAATACAGAGCATAAGGAGTCAAGACTTTTAAAACTGTTTAGACTTCGCGGCTTCTCAGATTGTATGGACGAACCCTTCGTTGTTTCTCTAGTAAAGAAGATGGATTCGGATCAATTTTGACATTTTCACTTAAATTGTCCGTCAAAATAGGAGTTTCAGTATCTGTAGAACGGGTCGATATGTCGTCTTCAGTAAGTTGATTTTGGAGGCATTCTGGTACTGCGTCTGGAATCGGCATGCTAACGGGCGATTGAAATATATGTTCTTTTGGTGCAAGATGATGAATAGATACTGTTTCCTCACGTCCATCTGGAAGTCTCACATGAGCATACTTGGGATTACATTCAATCAGTTCAACTTCATCAACTGGAGATTCATATTTAGAACGTACATTACGGCGCATCAAGACCGGTCCAGGAATAGTTAACCAACTGGGAAGAGAAACACCAGACGTTGATTTTCGATTGTACCTGAACATCCGTTCGTGTGGAGTAGTATTTGTGGCAGTACATAAAAGAGAACGGATAGAATGAAGAGCGTCGGGGAGAACAACTTCCCACTCACAGATTGGTATGGACCTAGATTTAGCAGCTAGTGATATACATCGCCAGAGAGTGCCGTTGAGACGTTCAATCTGTCCATTTGATTGGGGGTTGTATGCTGTTGTTCTACTGGTAACTATTCCTTTATCGTGGAGAAAATGTTTTAATTCTGCAGACATAAACGACGATCCTCTGTCTGAATGTATGTAGGATGGCATACCAAACAGGGAAAACAACTGGCACAGGCAATTAATAACAGTTGATGCTGTCATATCCTGGCAAGGAAAAGCGAACGGAAATCTAGAGTACTCATCAATTATCGTAAGAAGATATTTGTTCCGGGAGTTTGAAGGAAGAGGTCCTTTGAAATCAATATTTAGACGTTCAAAAGGAGAAGTCGCTTTAATAAGATTTCCTGTGGATACTTTGCAAAACCTGGGTTTCAGCTCAGCACAAACTGCACAACTAGATATCGTCCTCTTCACATCATCAACAGAAAAAGGTAGGTTCTTAGAACGCACAAAGTGAAGAAGGCGAACAACTCCTGGATGGCACAGAGAGTTATGTAGGTCTTTCAGATTAGTTTCACCCATGACAGAAGCAGAATATCCGCGAGATAATGCATCGGCGACTTTGTTTTCTTTGCCACAACGGTAGATTATATCAAAACTGTAACAAGAAAGTTCTATTCGCCAACGCTGAATCTTGTCATTCTTTATTTTCCCATGGTGGTTCATATCGTACATGAAAGAAACTGATCGTTGGTCTGTAATGAGTTGGAAATGAGTACCAAGTAAATAATGACGCCATTTTCTAATAGCTTCGACGATGGCATAAGCTTCTTTCTCCACCGCTGAGTGATGCCGTTCACTTGGTGATAGTGTTCTGGAAAAAAATGCAACGGGTCTACCATTTTGTGTTAACGTAGCAGCTATAGCAGTATCCGAAGCGTCGGTTTCCACTATAAGGGGCAAGTCAAGATCCACAGTAGTCATCACAGATTGAGCAAGTTCATTTTTTAATGCTGCATATGAGCTTACAATAGTACCTGGTAATGGAAAGATTTTATTTTGTATAAGGGGTTGAATTTTATCGGAGAAATGAGATATCCATTGTGAATAATACGCAAAGAGACCAATGACTCGCTGTTGGGATTTAAGATCTCGTGGAGGTGATAAATTCCATAATGCTTGAAGTCTATCGGGATCAGGTTTGATCATTTTATGAGAAACTTCATAGCCTAGAAGTTTTACTTGTTTAACGCCAATAACAGTTTTATTCTCATTGAATGTTAGCCCATATTTTCTGGATGCTTCATAGAACCGGGCAAGATTTTTTGCATGTTGTTCTGTGTTTTCACCACAAATAGTTATATTATCTAAATAAGCAAATGTAGCTTGAAGATTTTCATTTCTGATAATCTGACTGATAACTCTCTGAAAACACGAAACACCGTTTGTGACACCAAAGGGAATACGACGGAACTGATAGAGGTTGCCGCAAGCTTCAAAAGCTGTGAAGAGTTTCTCTTCTTCTTTGATGGGTATTTGATGGTAAGCACTCTTTAAATCCAAAGTGCTAAATACAGTATATTTTGAAATCTTTTCAATCATCTCATCAATTTTTGGGAGTGGATAGGCATCCAATAATGTGAAACGATTTATCGTTTGGCTGTAATCAATCACCATTCTACGCTTGTGGCGTTCATTAGTAGTGACCAAAACTTGGGCGCGCCAAGGGGAGTTTGATGGTTCGATGATCTGCTCACTGAGTAAATTTTTGATTTCCAGCTTGATGAAATGTTCATCTGAAGTGGAATGTCTTCGTGATTTTGTAGCGATCGGAACACATTTGGGTGTTAGGTTATGAAACAAGGGAGGTGGATCAATATGTGCAGCAACAAGATTACACAGTGAAAATGGATTGTTTTTACCTTCAAATGGAATTTCGAGTTTATTATGCAAGCGTAAAAAATCATGACCTAATAGCACATCAGCACACAGATTTGGCAACACTGAAAGTTTGATATGTGAGTAACTTGAGTCTTTATAACGTAGATTTACATAACAGTGACCATGAGTATGAGTTGTCAGACTTGTGGAAGCCATTGTGATTGAAGTGCGAGAATGCTCTACCTTTATATGTTGTTTTTGAACGACTGCACAAGAAATATAACTGTCTGAGCTCCCAGTATCTACGAGGGCTTGTAGGGGAATGTCATTTACAAAAAGCTGCACAACCGCATTGGAGAGAGACTGTGGAGCGGCGGCTAGAGTCATGGAAGACAACAAAGAACTAGTAACTGATGTAGTTTTGGTGTACGATTTTGACCGGCAGACCTTCTGATAATGCCCCTTCTTACCACAGAGTTTGCATACTGCATCCCTTGCAGGACATTTAGAGCGAGGATGTCTAGTAAATCCACAGAAGTAGCATTTCTCATTTATTGAAGCAGTCAATCCTGTTTCACCCACATAAGAGTTTAGTTCATTTGATGCATCACTGTTTGATATTGCAGCAGAATTGGAGAATTCGGAAGGATGAAACGAATGTGATTGTTGATAAGCCATTTCTAGGGATCGAGCTTGTTCATAAGCAGTATCAAGATCAAGTAATTTGTTTTCCAGAAGACGTTGTCGTATATTATTAGATTGCATTCCACTTATGAATGCGTCACGTATTGCATCATTCTGATTTTGTTCAGCCGAGACAGGTTTGAATGAACAATCTTTTGCCAGAGATTTCAGTTTTTGTAAAAATTGGTCGAGGCTCTGTCCAGTTTCTTGTTTGCATGTGGATAATAGATGTCGAGCAAAAATCTCGTTCTTTGGTTTGACATACAGTTTCTCAAGAGTACTAAGAGCGCCGTCAAATGTTTTACATTCAGCAATGTATTCATATACAGTAGGTGAGATATAGTTGATGAGAACATCAAGTTTGTCTGAATCTGGAGTTGAAGATTTAGTGATAAAAGTATTGAATGTACGAAACCAATGATTCCAAATCTTCGAAGATGTTTGGCAATTGGAATCAGCATCAAAGCGTTCGGGACGTAATATCTTGTCCATAATAAAACGAATAAATTGTAGTGTTTATGAGTTAATCAAACATTCACCGATCAAGTGAGAATACTGAGGGCCCGCAATAAAGGCTTTATTCGTTTTATAATTCCAGTATAGGATCTGGTTTAAACAAAAATGAAAGATGTGAATAGTGTATAATATAAATGCTAAACGTTTATGAAAATGTTCACACCACAGTGAATAAAGTCATTTGCAGCTAAGAACGCCCCATTGACAGTATTAGTCCATTGCTGAGGGTAACAAGTACAATAACATGCACAAAACCGGACATACTTATATAGGGATTGTGTAGAGTGGAGGTTAAAACACACTTGTGCAATGGAAAAAGCAGTTAAATCTGACAACAGTCAAAAGTTGTTCCAGACAATTCTAGCTATCAGAAGCAAGAAGCATAGTGTCAGCAAGACGATTTATGAAGCAGGTAGGAAGTTAATTAATAACCTAAGAGATATCTACACAGCTCAGCAAAGTGTTTTTGGAAAGAGTCTAGCTGATTTAATGTGGCAGTATGGAATATTTTAGATTTCAGTGCTTCATGGTCGATTAACATCAACAACGAATAATGGCTCGAAGTAGTAGTCAAACACCACAAGACACTCAGTTCAGACAACTTCAACAAACTCTTTAAAAAGATGATTGTGAGACTCTAGTCAGGGAACCAACTACATTGTTTAGGGAAATTATGGGAGAGCAAGTGTTCTAAAAACACAGAATGAAATCATTATTGTCGCGTTTTTTAAAAGTGGCTGCCCAGTGCATATAACAGCCATCGGGTGTATTAATCTACTACTAATTGAGTCTCAAATATTGACTTCACATACTTTTTAAAAAGTATGCGAAATTTATTCACGAAAAGCAGGTTGGCTTCTACTAATATCGTGGACACATCCACCACGCAATCATCCTTCGGCAGTTCATAGAACAATTTCACACGCATAGCACGCCAACAGTCGTTAATTTTCTTGACATTATAGTCGCCTTTAGTTTTGTTGCGACGTTAGTGTGGTCTCCAGAGGTTGATTTTATCACGCTTTCTGTGTGTACCATTGTTCTACCCCTGCGAAAAATAGCTTTCTCCATCTGAGGGCGGGTAGCAACTCATGTTTGACTACCACCGCTTCCATAGAACTGTACGCACTAGGTAGTACCATGACGTAATTAATTTTGAGGTAAGACGGTATCTTTGGACATGGTAGAGATCGTTTTGCAATAAGTGATTTCATCTCGGTAGATCCACTTTAGTGGCTTAGAAATGTGAAATGAATGTCATCTTGGTGGCTTCCAAACTACTCATGTGGCACGTTAGATTATGTACTCGGTTTTCAGCCAGTGGGTCCTGGGTTCAAATCCCGTCCCACCTAATTTAACCTCCGCAACCGGGTAGTATCATCAGCCCTCGCAGAATAAGTGTAGCTCACAGCCTGAGAAGTGAAAAACCTGTTTCAGGGACTGAGTTATTTATACTACTCACTGCTTGCCAGCCCTAAAACTAAAGAAGGTGTAGGCGTAGTGGGCCGATGACTTGGAGATGTGGAATGGAAGACATACGTCGGTAAACCTTGACTCCCTGAGTGTGGTGCAGGAGATCATCCGACCTATTGTCTTGAGTCAATATTAACAAAGAATTCCCACCTTTCTACTTTTTCTGGAAGTAATACGAAGTTATAAATCATCTCCTGCACATTCTCGATGAATATGCTTATTCGTTTACATCCTGTTGTTTCTTACCACTTTTTCACATATTTTTGAATTAATTTGCATGGCGCATCTATTGGTGCTTATATCATATGAAGTTTATGTCTTCGATGAAAAAGATAAAACAGGAATTCACCTATTTATTAAGGAACTTATTGGGCATAGTGATGTGCTTACGAAGGGTGGCAGGGTGAACTCAATTAAAATGATGAAACGTTGATTACTCTGTAGAAAAATCAATATTTCACCCGAAGCTTATTACATTTTTTGTATCTTTGTTTATTGATCATAGGAGCACAAAGTTAGTTATTTATTACTTGATTGCCTAGTACTCGGTTATGAGCCACATTTATTGAATGAGGGCTTTTGATGTCACTCAATTGCACGTGTAGCAGGACAGGAAACCTGGACCCAATGACTGTAGGAGCGCAGAGTTTGGGTAGATCAAACCCTAGGCTTTTACTTACAAGTAATTCTAAAGTTTTCTCCATACAATATGTTACGGTAAACGATTCAACTTTCCGACATGACAGATAACGAGAGAGAAATGCTGACTAAAATATTTCTAGAAAACTATCTTTTGAAATCTTAAAATCGGTGCAGGAAACTATATATAAAGCCTAAAGTTTCATTGCTCCGAAGAAGATTGTACGTATTAAGTTTTCTTAAAAAGAGGAAGCAAGTATTATGATTCTGAGATAAAGACTGACATCCTTCACTAGTAACATTAATCTGCTTGATACTATGTATCTACAAATGGGACTCAAAAAACGGTTGAATAATGTAAAGTGAAAAAGTGGTAAGACAACAATACAGGTAATATAGGTGAGTACAGCTGTCAAAACATACTATGCAGCATAGCTCATCACTACTGGGAAAACGAAACATGTCCAGTCGTAGGTCTTAACATTGCACGAGTGAACATATCACACTTCACATTGTATTGTGGTTAGCACGGACACGGTCACACATACGAATGCTAACGCCTAATAAGTAAGAGTTGAAAGAAAAACGTACACAAAAGGCTTGGTAAAATTATCAGCATTTGAGTAGTTCAAGGGGCTTCATTTATCTTGGCGAATCGCGATACACTAGCAGTTTAGTCTCGCTCAGAAGAAACAAACCGGAAAAGTTAAAAGTAATAATCGGTGTAGAATTTCATTGAAGGGACTTTGACTTGAAGGTAATGCAACTACTAAAACTTGGTGCTTAAATGACTGGTGGCAGCTACTCTGGTGAACTCTTTAGACGTGAAACGCGACCCTTAATGATGCTATCTAGTAAAATTAAAATATATCAACTGTAATAAATCATAGTGACTAATAAACTTTAGCACCAACTAAAAAGGAATTGGTGAAAACTATATCACAACGACAGGTGGGTTTATGGGTTGAAAATATGTGGTATTTGCCTGCCTTTAATATGAGATTACGACAGTTATGCTAATATGAAAAATTACTGAGGCAACGCCCAAATACAAGAACAAAGACAATAACAAAAACTGACCACGAGTTTTCCAGAGTAACGCACCAATTGAAACTTGCGCAGTGTACTTGAGAGTTTGTCCAAACGCCAATAATTAGGAGTAATTAACTAGATGTTAATTATTTTATATTTTCGCCACAGTTGGAGACGTTTCCAGTCTAGAAAATCGGATCCTAACCTAAGGCATAGAATAACATGTAAGTTAGAATAGTGGCTAACCTTTAAACACTATACTACCCGTCGTGGGGAAGAGAGAAACGCCTTGGTGAAAGAATACTTTTTTGCCATAGCATTTCGGTTGACTGTCAGGACTTCTCTTCAGTGTAGTGCTCATCAAAATATGAATACCGCTGCCAAAATATTCGCATTATTCTTACTGTTTCTTCGGTTTCATATTCAGTTGAATACATAAAGCTTGTGCTTCTCGCTAACTCATGTCAGTCCAGCATTGGTGTTCATCTGATGCCACTTGAATGAGTGGTTTGCAGATAATATTATTATTATTTACGTACTGTGACTTATATTGTGCACAAATTTTGAAGCCATACCAAGAAATCCCCTGTAATAATTATGAATAAGTACTTAGTTCTATTTTATTATGTGCTCCATTGCTGGTACCTGTAAAATGGCATCTCTCATAAACAAAACACTGGGAACGAATGTTATTGTATACTTTATATTTTAGTAGTTGATATATGGGAGACCACTTATTTTCCTGCCAGTATGATGGGGAGGATTTGTAGCTCAGATGAATGGTTTTGATGTAGTTGTGTTCTCTGAGCCAGATGGTTTATTTGCGAAGCTTTCATTGGCCTACCAGGCAACTTCTTCAGCGCATACTTCAATCTGAAGTTTTATTGTCACCTATCTTGCCAGGCTTAGTTTTGACTACACGTCTAGGCTGGCTCATCCAAATGGGATGGCTAGGCTGCTACTAATGATCCTCGAATTAGTAAAAGAAGAATAAATTACTTATTCCTGTTAGGAGAAGCACCCAGATTTGCGGGCTAAGCGCCATCAAGCTACCTCATGGTGGTTTTTAATTTTCCACGACATATTCCTATCCCGGACAGTAGAGATAATCGGTTATATCTTCGAATTTAAAATACCTGAAACGTATCGGTATTCATGATTTTGTTGATCTCCATGCACGATCTAAACAGCGAGTAAATGCTAAGACATAAATCAGTCATCCCAGTCCGTTATGGAATAATGCTTTCTGAATACTTTGAAATTTTTGGTCGATTTAAGATTTTTGGTTGGATTTGGATTGCTGCATAATAAAGCTGAAGTCACACAGAAACAAACCATTTCTACTCCAAACTCTACCTTGATATTCCTCTTATATTGTCAACATATGTTCTCTGTCACTGAGGTCATTCGTTTTGAAAATGGAACTATTAACTGCACTGGGATACATATCTTATGCATTTCGGGTTGGTATTGTACATTTTGAGATTAGCGCACAAACCTTGTAGGAGCCATCATACCTTACACTCACTGATTATTAAAACAAAAAGCCTTAAAATTATACATTTTCTTATTTGTTTTGTTGTTTTATAACTTAAAGGCTTTCTGCATGCTTTGAATTTCATAATAATGAATTTCTCCAGTTCCAACTTCTTTTTGTCTTCAGGCTTTACGGCGACAAAAATTTGTAAGGCAGTGTTTGAGACGTAGAAACTGCGGAGTGCCTTTGGGTCTTATGGGACCAGCTAGTTGTGCGTCGTGACAAAGCCGTTAGGACGCTCGTCGACCATGCACATGGTCCGGGGTTCGATTCGCAGGCCGACGCACACCTGATACCAATGGACGGTCTGATAAATTTAAGCTACCGATATCACATGCTGAAAATTCCATACTTGTGTCAAAAATACTGTGTGGAGTCAAGCTGCAATAAAAACAAAAAAATAAAATAGTGATTGTGTATGGAGTTGTGTGTTTTCATCCAGGCCATAATTATCTGAAGACGGTTGCGTTCCCTCAGTCGTTTGTCACAGAGATTTTAGAAAAGACAAATTGTTATCTGGGGCACACCGCTGAAAGCAACTACCCAACGTCATTGTTTGCCTCACAAACATCGTGACGGCCACGATTTTTTCCATGAGTACATAACATGTGTTAAGATTAAGAACCCACAGAAAAAAGCTAGGGCACAACTTATTTGCGGTAGATCCTTTTACAAAATGGTGTGTGGCTGCATCCCTTGCAGGAACTGATGCTTCTGCCATAGCTGAAGTCATGTTTGGCTGTTGGATTGTCCCGTGGGGTGCAACAGAACAACTTCACTCTGAGCAGGTAACAAATTTCGAAAGCCCTTTAGTCAGAAAGATGTACCACCTATTCAGAATTCGAAATATTTGCAGCTCAGGTGGACATTTTTGGTGTGGCTTTGCCCTCCCAGCTAGATGGCTTAAGTGCGAATATTTAATTTTACTTCTAGACAGCACTGTTTCAGAGCTTATTCTGAAGACAGCTAATTACAGTGAAGTCCACTGGGAGGGACAGTTTTTTTTATGGGGAATTCCACAATACTTACTTCGCAATGAAGTTAACCCCAAAGACGCCGTTTAGAAGGATAATGAGGGCTCCGCAGTGAAACCACTCACCTCGGAGAACGCAGCCATTTCAAAAAAATATTTGGTTGCTTTAATTTCGACAGGTAACTCTTAACAAACCTATTGATTATAGGTCTCCAGGCCGTAGGTGTTACGAACTTCCTGGAATAATTTGAGCGCCGAGTCAGATTGATTCATTATAAATTATTTCAATTAACCCCAGCGTGTTAAGAAAATCAAAACAAGATTTTTCTGAACGTTTGGCTGTGTAAGCCACAGCTTCTTCAGCAGATTTATTCGGATTTTCATTAGTCATCAAAATATATAGTCAAAAATTTTAACATACATTAAAGTCAGTTTATTTGAAGGTCATTTGTCCATGGACATTTTCACCAATAGAAAATATGTAATCAGTCATCACATATTTTTGATTGAACACTAGTCAGTAACTAGTGTAATGTGTCTGGTCCTATCGTTCAGGGTCATTGGAACATTTACAAGGCCATTGGAACATTTACAATCCTGGGACTCTTTTCTTGAACTTCGCCGTCCTATCTTCGGTGAAGACTGAATTCCATCTATCATGACTGATAGAATTCAGTCTTCACCGAAGATAGGACTAGACACATTACACTAGTTACTGACTAGTGTGCAATCAAAAATATCCAATACAGTCCTACAGGAGGTCAGTCGCGAGCCTGAATAGCTCAGTGGTGACGTCCCTGACTGCAGCACTGGGTGATGCGGGTTCGAATCTCAGAAGGGACATCAGTTCCTTCAAGGTTGCAGATACGCCTTGCTGATGAGTGCCAACTAGCCCGAAACCTAGGTCGAAGGCTTCCTGACGATTGCCTCCAACCATCTAGTGTCATCACATATATTTGTAAATTGTCAATTCATACGTGACAAACATTATCCTACATGTTTTAAAAGGTCATGGAGGCTCATAGAGTGTTTATTGATTTTTTCATCTGTCTTGCTCCATAAGAGTTTGCCATATAGGTGATAAGTCTATCCCTTCTTTCCTATTCACTGCATTCAATGTGGTTAAGATGTGCAGGCTTCAGAAGTCAATCTTTGTTTATGTGAATGAAGTCCTCTTCCAAGAATTTCGAAATTGTCGGAATCAGTCTTATGTCCGCTGTCTATAGCATGCATTGCCATAGCCGATCTTTCTTCTAGACTTTTTAGTTCTACTTCATTTCTAGGTAGACGTTTCGTGCATAGTCTATGTTCATTCACTCTGACCTTCATCTGCCTACTGCTCTCCCGTATATAGCATGATTCACATTCTGAACACTTTATCCTACAGACACAATTACTTTGTGACATTTTGGGAACTATATCTTTGACATGCACCAGCACTTTCTCCAGAGAATTAGAAGGTTTGACATAGACTTTAATATTATATGAAGCAAACAGTCTTTGAAGTTGTTTAGCAGTATCCTTTCGGTATGGGATGGCTATCGTTGATAGCCAAGAATTTTCAATTTTCTGCTTTCCCTTATGCTCCTTTTTATTGATAATATTATCTAGTAGCTTTTCAGGATAACCATTTCTAATCAAAATCTGTTTTATGTTGGATATCTCGTTCTCCATATCGTCATTATCTGTTATAATGTTTCTAGGTCTGTTAAAGAGATTTAAAGCTTCTGAAACTTTCATTCCTATTAGATGATCTGATTGGAAATTCAAATACTTGTTGGAATGTGTCGGCTTTCTGCATATGGTAAACTTTAGTTTCTCGTCAGTTTGTCTTTTTACAAGACAATCAAGAAAGTTTAGAGTTCCCTCAGCCGATTCTATTTCATTAGCAAACTCAATATATTCTGAGATTAAGTTAATCTCTGTTAGAAAGTTTTCTTTTTCAGCTTTCTTTATGATGGTAAATGTGTCATCTACATATCTGTACCATATTCTAGGATGACAACTAAAACTTGTCAATGCTTTCTTTTCTAGGGCTTTCATATGTAGGTTTGCTACAATTAGAGATGATGGTGAACCCATTGCAACTCTATTTGTTTGTCAGTATAGGTTGTCTTAAAAGGTAAAATATGTAGATTCCAAACAAATTTTTAAGCATTTTATAACTTCATCTATTGATAATAAAGATTTAGTTAATACTTCTTGATTGTTTTCAAGTTCATATTTCATAATATCGAATGAATCACAAGTAGGAATACTAGTAAATAAAGAAACCACATCAAAACTTACCGTAATTTCGTCTTCTTCAATAATTATGTCCATTACTTTCCTTTTAAATTCCTCAATATTTTTGATGTTCGAAGGAATATTGTATTGAAGTGGTTTCAGTATTCGTGATATGTATTTTGATAAAGTATATGTTACTGAATTGGTAAAACCAATTATTGGTCTTAAAGGAACATCTATTTTATGTATTTTCGGCCTTCCATAAAATCTGGCGGCCGTGTTTGTCTTGGGAGCTATTGTCCATGGATAAATGACCTTCAAATAAACTGATTTCAATTTATGTAAAATTTTTGACTACATATTT